CCATCTTTTGCAATAGCTCCTTTGCAAACCGAATAGCACATACATTTAAACCTTAAAAATCACACAGTAGTTCTATCTTCAATTAAAACCGATTAACCCCATCTTCTTCAACTAGCAGCTATATTAGCCCTATCTTCTTCAACTATCAGCTATAGTAGCCCTATCTTATTCAATTAACAGCTAAAACTGATCAGTCCCATCTTCTTCAACTTGCAGATATAGTAGCCCTATCTTCTCCAACTAGCAGCTAAAACCAGATAGCAGCTACAGTAGCCCTATCTTCTTCAACTAGCAGCTAAAATCGGTTAGCCCCATCTTCTTCAAGTATCAGCTACAGCAGCCACTAGCGGCTAAAACCGGTCAGCCCCATCTTCTTCAACTAGCAGCTAAAACCCGATAGCCCATCTTCTTCAACTAGTAGCTAAAACCCGGTAGCCCCATCTTTAGTAGCTAAAACCAGGCAACCCTCTGCAACCAGTAGCTATTGTTTATTTCTAGATATACAAGATTTATTTTTTTGGGTTCTACAACCACAGTTGTAGCTATTTTTTTGGGTTCTACAACCACAGTTGTAGCTAAGATCAGTCTATTGATTTTTTTGGCTTCATTTTTTCTTTTTTGCTCCTATTGTTTGTTGATAAATTCGAAATACTTGAGTTCACTCACAGAGCATCGTCAAATCAGTGTCTTTAAATTTTTTTTTTTTTTTTTCCAGAACTTTTTAAATTGATTTACCACTTCTATCTCCTTGAATGCCCCAAAATAATTTCTCCTCCAATACATCTCATTTAGTCATAAAGCGGTCTAGGTTACTAGCCAAATTTCTCCAAACTTTTTTTGTCTTTTGAATTTTCCCATGGAAGTTTTCTGGAGAGAGATGATTAAAAGGCTTTTGCACAAGAAAAAAAAAACATACAATATATGATGGCTTATCATAATAAAAGTATGTTATTCCAAAGTGTTAACATCTTGAAAACATGTGATTCCACGTCAAGGCGCAAAGGCATACAAAAGGTGTGGCTAACTCTTATGCCTGATGCAATTATAAAGTTAAGCTACATACTAATAGGGATAGAGTTTAAGCTACATACTATTAAGGATTATATGCTCAACCATGTTTTGGGTATAAAGCCAAAAAAAAAAAAAAATTTGGTAATGCATTTCCCATATTTCTTCTGGACATAGCCAAACAGTAACAATGTATTTCCCAGGTTGCATCTAAATACTACCCAAAGAGTGACAATCGATTTGCAGGTAATGTATTACGCTAGTAATATATTGCCAGATATCCAAACGACCCTTAGTAATAATGTCGCAAGCTATCCTAAGGGTCTGATCTTGACGTGACATATCTGAGTATTTAATTTTTATCTTTTATTTTATAAATTAGTTTCATAAATGAGGGTGGAGGTCATTGATAAGCTTTGACGATGATGTAGATATAAAAGACTTAAGGACTAGATGGTATCCCGATAAAGCTTTAGAAGTGCATGGGAGAAATTAATATTGACTAGCTGACCAAGTTGTTCAACAAGGTGTTGAGAACAAAGAAAATGTCAGGAGGAAAAGTATTATGCTACCTATATACATGAACAAATGAGACATACAAAATTGCATGAACTATCGAGGAATCAAACTTTTGAGCCACACTATGAAGCAGTGAGAGAGAGTAATTGAGCAACGATTAAAGTATAAAACGAGTGTATCATAAATCAATTTGGTTTTATTCCAAGAAAGACAATAACTGAGGCTATTTTCCTACTGAGGCAATTGATTGAAAAGATTAAGACAAAGGAAAAAGATCTCAACATGGTCTTTATTGATCAAGAGAAATCTTATGATAGATTACCTAGATATTTGATTTGTTGGCAATTGAAAAAGAAATGAGTCTCTAGATACAATATCGACTTACTTAGAGATATATACGAGAAAGCACTAACTAGTGTGCAAATAACTAGTGGAGAGACGAGTGAATTTTTAGTGACAATAGCTCTACATCAAGGGTCAAGAGAGACGGGTGAATTTTCAGTGACAATAGATCGATATCAAGGGCCAACATTGAGCTCATACCTCTGTCTTATTTATGAAGAACTTAACTAGGTACCTACAAGATGAGATATCGTGGTGTATGTTGTACGCAAACGACCTAGTTTCGATCGATGAGAGCCAAAACAACGTCAACACAAAGTTAGAACTTTAGAGGGATGCTCTAGAATCTAAAGGTTTTTTAATTAGCCAAACTAAAATAGAGTATATGAAATGCAAGTTTAGTAATAATAGGAGTAGAAACGATAAAGTAGATCAGATTAACGACTAAGAAATACCACAAAAAGTGCAATTTCGATACCTTAAGTCCATAATACCAGAAAATAGAGGGATTGAGGAGGATGTCACACATAGAATTAGAGCTCAATGGGCAAAGTGGACATGTGCAACTGGAGTTTTATGTGATCATTGCATACCAATGAGATTGAAGAGCATGTTCTATGGGACAGTGGTGAGACCAGCTTTGTTTTATGGGGTGAAATGTTGGGTGGTCAAGAAACAACATACTCATAGAATGAGTATAGCTGAGAATGAAGATGTTGAGTTAGATGAGTGACAAGACAAGCATAGATGGAATTCGAAAAGAATACAATCAGGAGAATTTACGTGTGGTACCAATAGGCGATAAGATGAGAGAAAGTAGACTTGCATGGGCTACACATATGCAGCGCAAACTCAATACAACACCGGTTAGGAGGTGTGAGTTAGTTCAAATGAAAAGCTCCAAAAGGGCAAGAGGTAGGCCCAAAAGGACATGGTTGGCAGCAGTGAGAAAAGATATGGGGACTTGTGGCCTCACTATGGGTTTGACCATTGATAAAGCAGAATGGCGAACCAGAATTCGTGTAACTGACCCTATTAGTTGGAAAAAAGGATGATAATGATTTTATAAATATGTTTAATAAGAATTTTTTATATGTTCACATTTCATTATGATACACCTAATAAAAGATGTACATGTGATAAAGATAAATGATTAAAATGCGCATATAAATTTTAGATTTTTTTTTTTCAAATTATTTTATTAGAAATATATATATATATTCATTAGGTGCACCTTTACAGGGAGTGTTCATGCTCCAAATTTCATATCATGATGATTTATTAAAAAACAAAAAATAAAACAGTGATTAGTGTGACTAAAGGCATCATGGTTGTTCATTCAGATCATACGGTCAGAATAGCAGTGACAAGTACTCTCTTTTTTTGGTTTTTTTTGGGGGGTTTGAGGGTCATGTGAGTATTATTTTTCACGTGTGAATCTTGAGACCATGCCACTGCACTTCTTAAAACCATTGCTTCAAGCAGTGCTTCTCACGTGTGAAGCCTAAGGACCATACCCCAACATGGTTAGTTGAGCTATATGGGTGGGGCATGGTCCACACGGTTGCTGGCTTTCAATTTCCTTTTCTTGACAAAACGTCCTCCTCTTCTCTTTCTGTTTTCGCATTTCTCCATCAAGGATCAAACATTAGTACTCTATGCTCCTGCAGAAACGGAATGTAGTTTTTTCGCATTTCTAAAATCAGGGTGCTTGGAGCGATTAGTTTCATTATATTGAAGGAAAAAGTTTTTGGTGCATCTACCGCACAACATACGCATTCACCCATCCATCATTAGAACCAAAACCCGTCCTAAATCGCTGCATATCCATTTCCATCTCAACTCCCCATGGAGCCTCAAAAATATTGTAGAGCTAGCTGACTTCCAAGTATTCAAAAGAACTATCTAAAGAAGAGGTATTAGATGGTCCTTTGAATGCTCAAAAAAGTTTCAAAAGATCAGCCGATCAAGACCACAACGGAGTTTTTTATCCGCGAACCATCTCTACGGTCGATTTTGCAAGGTGGAGATTGAAATAGGCGTGTCTAGCGACGCCAAAACTACCAAACGACGTTCCAAAAAAATGACCCTCCAAACGCCTAGGTGGGCCTGACCGATGCGGCCCAGTGCCTAGCCCTAGCCAAGCGCCCAAGACGTTGAGGGGCGGGCATTTGTTACTGTTCCCTAAAAAAGGGGAAAGGGGGTTGGGTTTTTAGGTCCTAACCTCTTTTTTAAAATATTAGAGTGAAAGAACAGGACCCATTGTTGCTTTCCTCTTAATTCAAAGTTTTGAAAATCTGATCTAAATATTTTTTATTTTTTATTTCCTTCTCTTATGCATGTGAAAATCTGATCCAAATATTGGTCTAAAAAAAGTGAGAACCTTAAACTTTTTCTTAACGTATACCAAATTTAAGTAAAAAAAGTGAATTGTGTTAAGTAGGCAGCCAACATAAAACTTTATTAAAAAAATTTCATAAATCTTGATAACCGACCCCAAGTAATTAGAAAAAAACTCTGACGCTAATTATGATGTGTATGGAGCATAGACTATAGACTGCAATGTAATTATGGGATTAGTATGGAGTGTATTAATTATTTACTGTGTTTTGTACATTGTGTAAGGAGTATCCTCGACGGTGTTTAGGTTGGGCTTCGGACTATGGAGCATAAACTGAATTACAATTTATGATTTGTAAATTGTGACGTGAATTTGTAATTATATGATCATGGTATTTCCCTAGTGATTGTGCTAGTAATAGTATTCTAGTCGACTATCACTTGAATTTGAAAGTTGGATAATATTTTTTATTTTTCTTAATGTGTTCATAAAAAATTGTCCAAATCTCAAATACTTTGGTTTATCTTTAGAGTTTTCGGATTTGATTCAACATAAAAAAAAAATGTCCTCCGGGTACGGACCAGGCACACCGCCCAGGAATTTTTGGAGCATTGCTACCAAATATTGAAAAGGTTTCTTTAACGAACATTCCATTCTTAAATTTATATGCAGGTTTTTTCTACATTGAATTTGGAAAATCGTGTTTTCTATCATGTGTTCCTTGTCCGGGCAAACATATACACACCTGGGTTCAGGACCCAAAAACAAAAAGAAAAGGAAACAAGCATCAGAGTCGAGGAATCGTCCAATTATTTTCACTACAGGAACAAACGAGACAATATTACAGATCAAAACTCAAGCATGGAACAATAAGATATCTGGTGGGGAACTTTCAAATGGCGCGATGAATTCGTCGCACAAGCCATTTGACCTTGCCGGATCTCACCTTCTCGCTCGTTTGCTAAACCAAATTTATCTTTGTAAACCTCGCCAATCCTCAAATTGAACAAGTTACATTAACATACACAAGGTTACCCTACATGAGCAAGAGGGTGGGCCTAAAACATACAATGTTTTTCTACAGGGATGGTCTGCAGAGAGAGAGCATACAACCATCACATGGGTGCTCCACCCCGATGGAGACAAATCAATCAACTTAGCACTCCATTGCATATGTCTGTACCTGCAACAATACACGGCACCTGTAATTAAATGGCTGTGTGATAGTTTCGCTACAAAGAATGCAGATGCAGCCCATTAACATGTTCAGGAGAAGGAAATTTAAAAGACATGATATTTTGGAGAAAACTACAGAAGGGGCCACAGAAATATGGAGATAAATATGAGCAGTCAACTTTTTAGTAATAAGTCTGGCCAAACACCAAGACTATAGGAAAGCGCTATGTAACAAAACAATATTTCAAATAATGTTTAAATATAAGAAATAGACCCCTGGTCCTCGGAGTATAATTTAGTTTTATGGCATTATTCGGGTAATTCATGGTCAAATGTCGCATCTGAAATAGTTTTCCATGAAGAAAGGTCGATAAAGAATATTCTGGATCGTAGACAACTAACTCCTGGAAAGGAAAAATATCAATCAATTTGCAAAAGGAACAGAAAGCATTATACCTCAATCACATTTTCCTCCAAATAATAGGGGCTCATGGAATTTGTGTTGTGAGAACCATCATATTGAAGGATTCTAAGCTTTCCTTCCTGCACAATATGAATAGTATTTTAGTGTACGCAAAGGTGAAAGCAGTACCAGGAATGTCAGTACACAAAATTAAAATAAAACTGGGTTGCATATTTCACCTTAGTGCCATATACAAGACCACCTCCAGCCAAAGGATGAAAACATGCCACATTGACTTCATCTTCTGCGCTCGGAAGAACTCTCACAAGCTCCATATTCGAAACTTTATAAACCTGATAATACAGATAAGTATCACATATCAATATGCACACAAATAAGTAATGCACACTGATTGCTAGTGTTTAGTATGACGAAAGAAAGGAAGGTGAAGGCATGTACACTACTAAAACAAAGAGCAAGGAAACCTGGCCAAGAAATAGTAGTAAAGAAAGGATACAAATTAACTAAGACAGTCTAGCATAGATGGCATGTGAAACGATGCTGACCAGTGGAATTTTTACTGAGGAAAACTCAACATGACTTACTCATTTATCATGCACTCGCCTATGGGAAATTCCCACAACAATTTTTTATGAGTAGCAGATAATATCCATAAGGAAAGAGAGTATTTGTCACATTTGATTGCATCTAAAAAAAAGCTAAAAAACAAAGTACCATAAAACGTCTTCCTCAAATCAATAAAACTTAATGACATAAATGAAATGACAGGACTATGGAAATACATAAACAAGTCCATAAGGGACTAATATGAAGGGTAGCAAAAGTTTCCTTTTCTTGGAAACAGGTAAATGCCACTTTAACCTAGAGTACTGCATTTCCTCCCAATGCATAATATATTCATCGCACCATGAAGTTCTAGCAGTGGGTTCTTACTTGGGTATGACCAAAGGGACCCAAATAAGTCTTTTAACATATTGTCTGAAATTGATCCGGTGCAGCTGCTTTGGATTATTAGCCGGCTAAGGAAGACAAACAGGAGATGAGCCATATGTGGTTGGGTCTATCTTGTAGAATTACTTGACCCTGAAAAATCCCAATGCCTGAGGTTCACTGTGATCTATTCATCACTAGTTCTATGTATACAAATGACTTCCAATAAACCAGCGAACAACTTGAAGTCACACATTACATGACTTGATGTATGAAAACTTGTTAGCTATTAAAAAGGGGCTAATAAAATAATCAAATAACAGAGGTCATTGACTGCCTCCACCAAAGATCTTAATGCCAACTATACTGCTTATAAGAGAGATGCCTCGGATGAAGGTAATCCTCCAAAATCTTCAGAAATTGGCCCTCAAGAGCAATTATTATGCCAGATCCCAAAAGTTAATACACCTGCTAGTACTAACTAGGAGTTTGTTCACTCTTCTAATCGCAATCCGCATTCTTATTGTGCCTCACTCCCAAATACATGTCTTTGAATTCTCATCTCCAGGGAATCTCATCCAAATCTATTAAGACAAATGTTTGCCCCCATCACATTCTCCTATAGGCTGGCCACCATCTCCATAGACACTAATACCATTTGCATTTTTCTTTTATATAATAAAAGCGATCTCCTTAGTCACCTCAAACCATCTGAACACCACCCCTTAATTGTTTCCACTTCACAATAACACTCTTTGGACCCACTCTATTTTAGAGGCCATACTTACCAGCAATATAAATAGACAAAAAGATGCTGGAAGATTTGCAGGTCACCTTACTAAATATGAGTCTTCCTCCCTCCAATGTGAGGAAGTGGGCCTCGCAAGGCAAGGTACCAGTGTCTCTCAAATTGCTCAATCACCCGATACCAAAGACCTTTCCTGGTATACCAATGTAAAGGGCAAGCCAAAAAACTCCAAGGCCAAGTTTCCAATGTCACCCCTGGCAAAGGAATTTTCCTTAGATATAAACATGTCACAAGTTCATGAAATACAATAAACCTAAGTCATACAACACAAATCTGAACTCGAAATATTTGGCTATTTCCCCAAACGAAGGGCAAAACTGGATTTCAGGGAAACAATTATCACTAAGACAAAGCATGAAGCATATCCAAAAACTTGAACTCAAAACTAGCAATATTTCTTCAAAAATAGGACAGAAATAGGATAGTATTCATTTGAAATTTAAAAAAATTATTTTAATCTAAAATATTGTTGGAAGGAATTAATAGAATATGGATATTTAACAGTGGCAATCATTAGAAATATAATACCCCCATTACTTAAATTGACAATTTGGAAACGGAATACCTCCAGTATTGTGTAAATAGGTACTGTGGTCGCGCCATCCACAACAATGCTTCTAAGAAGGGAATTATGGCGACGTCCATATGCCAATAGTATGTGTTCTGAGGTGGGAGAAAACTGCAGAGATAAAAACTCAAATAAGCCCAACCAACTCAAGAGCCCATATGGTAACCAAATATTTTATGTGGTCATACAGAAGAAACACTGGTTCAGTACAAAATAATGAAATCATAAACATGCATCCCATTGAAGGCATCCATAAAGCTTGTCATTTAAAATATAGATAAACAAAATAAACCTTTTTGCTCAAAAAATTGATAAACCATATAACACAGTAACTATTCCCAGGCCATCCATGCACCATCGACATAACCACATTTCTACTTAATTTCGGATCAAAAGGGACAGTGGGGGTAACCTAAAACAATAATATCCAGATTTTGAGGATAAGAAGTTCAAAAACACAGGTCCGGAGCAAAGTAAAGAAGATAGCCATATGTGTTTGATTTGAGGCACTTAGAAAACAGAGTAACATAATGATGAAGCTGTGGCATGCTTTGTGAGAAAAAGAAAATAATGAAGCTCCAGCCTAAGATCATCCAGGTGGCTGACTTGGCAATAATTTTATACGATTCCTAACAGGAGACATCAGGGAATATTGACAAAAACGTCTCCACAAACGATACATAGATTATGAGTTTCATACAAAATCGAGGACATTAGAACCAGTCTTCCGATCAAAGTGTTCCTGAAACATTTAACAAAATGGGAAATTATGCATCGAGGAAGATGTGACCAGTCCACTTTCCTATGCAATTCTTACACATGGGTGTGACAGGAAACTGACAAAAAGAGCCCTAGAAATTGAGTAGGATAAGTCCAAAAACAATACACAAACTCAATTGGTGGCAGCAAAAGTAGACACATCCATGTCCACGGTACCACGATGAATGTATGGAACCAATCAAGTTTTTCAAGATATCACCACCTGATAATCCATCCAACTACTTAAGCAATCATACTGTCAGTGACTACATGCCAGGCCTTGAAAAGTATCTCGTAAGTCAACATATTGGCCAACCCTGCCAATAGTTGCGAAGGTATAGTTTCAAGTGATTGTAGTAAGTTGCAGGGTTGCACCAATTACACATCCAGTGCGACAAACAAACATCATGATGTACAAGATAGGGATCAAATAAACTTTACTGATCCAAACCAACTAGTAGTTGAAACAATGTTCAGCAACTAACCTGAATCGAGGTGAGGCAATGAGCTGCTCTTATTGCCCTTGATGCAAGCACTAAACCAAAACTATCAAATCACATAAAATTCAAACCATTAAGCCAATTTCAGAACCATAGAGGTCATAAAAGCATGATGGAAACAATCAACTGTACACAACTATAATAAAATGTTGCAAATAATAAACACCATAAAGGGACAGAGATCTTACGTGGCCTGCTCAAGGGAATATATACGTAGCTCATAAACAACTTGGTGGGCTGAAACCGGATGCCGCGTTGGGGAAGATGCAGATCCACCGAGGTCATGATGCACCTGCGACTGCAATCCAGGATCCAGTTCCATGTGAGGAAGCACACATGCAACACAAGCAGCTAAAAAGCGCCCACACGGTGAAAAGTGTGCTCCCATTTCACTGCCATCATCAAGTAGATGTACACATATTAATCGCAAACTGAAGGTGATGAGTTCAAACAGAAGATATTTATATAGACCATACTTTACATAAAAAACCGAGCTAAAACTACTCCTCTCATGTGTAAAAAGAAATGTTCAAGAACATGAGAATCCTTGGCCTAATAAGATGGACCATATAGGCTTCTGGACTACTGCTCACAGTAGCTGTAATTCCCAAACTACAGCATAAGGAAAGTAATAATGATGACATGTTCCTGAACAACATCAGAACAAGATTTGTTTCATCCATATTTATGGAAGTGTTAGACATGTGTGCTGCAGTATAGTTCAAGTGTCTATGCAAAACTAACAATCTATGATTGTTAATATGAAAGCCATGTCAGTTTCATAATAACATCATACCTACAAAGGACAGCATGAGGCACGGTTAGGCAGCACCTGCCTTCAACAAGCTTTTTACAAGGATCTTGAACATCATGGTGCCATAGCCGTAACTTCACAGTGCAAGGTGACTCTGCAGCCGCTGCGGTGGCAGCACCTGATGGTGGCGCAGCAGCAAGTTCTGCATCCATTGAACCAGCACCAGATTGAGGAATGCTCTCTTCACCACCTACATTCATAAAGGTAGCCCCAGCACCAGGAACTATAGGTGCCATCGATCGAGAACGTGAACGATGACGCGAACCAGATCTTCCTGAGGATCTTGAGTGACTAGCATTCGCAGCTATTGCGGAGGCAATCAACAAAGCGTCCATGTTCGCAGTTGCCTGTGGATCAGATGCCCAGGCATCAGGGCTTCCCCGACTTACAATTGTGTTTTCTTGAGACCTGTCATTGACTGGTAAAAACCCAGCATGTGTCTGCCCCATCAACCACCCTTGTATAAAAGGGAGCTCCCAACAAGTTGGATCACCAAGAGGCAAAAACTGATGAAGTTGCCCAAGAGCTACACTTCTTAACAGCATTTGAATATTTGTGCGTTCCATGAAAGTCGTGTCATCTGTGGCACGCATACCATCAGCAAATTGCCGATCAATGGACCGAACAATAAGGGATGATCTAGCATCATCTACACTCTCTGCAGTACTAGGAGAGTTTCTTCGGTCAAACATGTCTCCTGCTTGCCCATAGACCTCTGCTTCACTCAAAAAACCATTGGCTGTCACATTATCCAATGCAACATTCGAGCTAAGAGGCACTTGCTGGCGCATATTTGTAGATGCTGACAAAGAATCATCTTGGTTCCCTGCATTTAGGTCAGTAGTAAGGTGTGGAGATGGAGAAGATTCTGTTATTTCTTGCTCAGAATTTGTATCCACGACCATATTATCAGGCTGTGGAGAATTTCTCTCATTGTCTCTCACAAAAGCAGCAGGGCAAAAGAAGCAGGGGTAAGGGAAGAGTGGCACTTGATTATCTCTAATTGCTTCACTATTTAACCCTGAACCAGAGCGCATATTCGCGAAGAATACAGCTGGAGGAGGGTACTGCAAATAACCTCGTGATGTTGCAAGGGTCATTGAAGAATCTGGAGCGTTAATATCAGTAACCTGCTAAAAAATCAGCCAACCGGATTACATCACCATTCATAAAAGCGATAATTCATCAGAGTAAGTCAAATAATTTCAATATAACCACACCTCAGCAGTTAAAAGAAACGGAGCAGCATGTGGGTGAAAATGCACAGCCCTCAAAGATCGATTTGTACGTAGCACAGAGGTCGGTGAAGATGCATCTCCTCGTCTGTTATATTGCCATATGTACAGCTGAAAAAATGATTACAATCATTTATGTCATCTAGAGAGAAAAAGGCATCAGCCCCATGAGCATTCACAAGGAAACAAGAAAACAAAGCCCTTTTTTTTCTTTCAGGTGAACTGTAAGAAAAGTAGAAAACAAACCATAATTGTTGATTGTATGAGAAACTACTGAAAGAGCTACCCTATACCTTGTGACCTGAAGCTACAGCAAGCAACTCGCCTTGAGCATGAAAAGCAATAGAGGCAATTGGACGATCTGCAGTGATAAATAAGGTAAATGAAACATCAATGAAAAAAAATCACTCTATATCCCTGACACCATGTAAAAACTGGTAGAAATAAGTATGCACATGAAGTTAATCTGAGAAGAAACCAAAGAAATTACAGAAATCTCTTGATCCTATGCACTCAGCAGTATTGGCATCCCATAAGCGAACTTCATGATCCAAACTCCCACTAGCAAGTATCTCTGAATCCCCAGGATGGAACCTCACCTGCAGGAAGCCCATGAACACATGTCAAATAATAATGAGAGTTTTTAAAGTGTCTATATCATGACATTCAGTCATAACCCTGCATTTGAACATCTTAGAGGATTACTCCCCCATCATCTCCGGCCAACACACCGACACAAACACGCACATGCATGCTCATGCAAATAAGAGTCCCTGCAGAGATATGCACAGATTGGGACCAGGCTGAGTCCCAGTTCAGGACCAGGCTAGGTTCCAAGCCAACTCTGGGCTTTTAAACATTGATAAGAGACAACCGCAATCATTGAAATGCCAGAGCCAGGCATGGCGATTTCCAATGAGAATCACCTAGGAAACAATCAGGATGCCAGAGAAGGAACACCACCCCTTAAAAGGTTCACTACCTAATGCCAAGACAAAGCCAAAAGCCATAGTTTCTAAGGTGCTACAATCTAAACGACCTCTTCCTAACAAAGACCTAGTTTTATGTGAGACAAATTAAAGAAAATCATTAATATAGCAGATCATACATACCACCCAAGGAGTTCTACGATGACCACTCAAGACCTTTAAGCAGCTTCCAGTTTGACAATCAATTATTTTGACAGTGTGGTCACCGCTGCAAGCAAGGGGATGGTAAATGGACACAGTATCAGTAATTAATGGCACTGTCCAGCATCAATGAATAACAGAGTAGGCAAAGAGCATTATGATCTTACTGTGTGGAGGCAAGAGTTTTCCCATCTGGACTGAAGGCAGCAGCAATAGTTGACCTGGGAGGAGGCGTAAGAGGGCAGTACTTGGCCGAAAAATGCCGCAGGGACTCCGTCTCTACCCTGAAATTATAAATTTGAATATCATGCACAAATTCAGTGTTTTGTCTCCAGCCCAAGATAATCCAACTAAGACACGCAAGTTACACTACAGGACAATGCAATTTATGGGATAAGAGCAAAACCCACAAAGTGGCAAGTTTGGGATCAGCAGAAAGTCAAGGATGTGTCCTGGATAGAAAACAACAATGAGAAATCTTTAAAAAACCATAGGTCCACAGCAGTTAGGAGGTTTACCAAGAAACAAGACCACGCTTTGCATCCAATACTTCACATCTTCTTTTAGAGCAATCGTGATTCTTTCTAGCAGCTTCGCCCCAAAGCCTTTTTGATGATCTTTTTATGCGAGGAGAAATTTCCCTCAATGTTAACAACTGAAAGACATTACTCGCACTGCGAAAACATTATAATTAACAGTGACCATATAGAATATGCATCAAATTAGCAAAGCAGCTTCGACTCCAAAGAACATGCACAAGTTCCAAATAGAAAAAGTTTATATAAGGATGCAACCTTAAAAATCCATCGGAAAGGTAGTTTTCATGTTGAAAAACCAGATTGATCGTCTCGACATCGAGATGTGTGACCATGAAAAATAAAAAGATTTTAAGCCTTAGAAATAGTGCATTTTACAACATATTATCTACACCGTCCATTTTCAAGATTTCCTTATGTTTATAGATCTACTTGATTTTAACCATTTTTTAAATTTAAAATTTTATAATTAGATATAAAAATAAATGTT